ATAGTTCAGTTATCCCTGCCCTGATTGAAAGTATCTTTGACTTAGGTACTTGTCAAAGTTCTCATGATGTTTCCTTGATATTGTCTATGACTGTAGTGTTGACTTTGGACCCATGTGTGAGGGCCAATGGATTTAATTATCATCTTTTAAGAATAACAGATATTCATGGTTACTGTAGCATTGATAATCCGTGTGCTATGAGACATTCAAAATTCCTCTGCTCTCATGGTCAGAAATATCAATAGTTTACAGATTAGAAAATAGTTTATTTTACTCTAATCTGTACTTGAGACTTGACTAAACAGTTTGAAACAACAAATGTTAGTGCATAATAATAAATGTCAATTGTAAATTTTTATACTTAAATTAACTTATGTGGGTATGCTACAGATATTGTTCATGCAGGCTGACGATGTCTGTTTGTTTGTACTGATGCATAGCAGGGATATCTTTTGTTAAAAAACAAAAAAAAAATTCATGGTTGAAAATGTCATCTAATATTGGCTCCTGTAAAAATTGTGTGTTCATTGAGAATTTAAGCACTTGGAAAAGTCTGGGGAGCTGTCAATAATCTGGAGTTTTTCCAGACAGAGCCTTGAACAACTCTTCCACATCTTTTGAGCTTTCAAAACTCACTTGCTGCTCAACATCTTGATGAATGCAGACTGACACTTAATTGGGAATTGAATTCGGTGTTATGAATTGAGTTTATAATTAACGATTATTCCACGAGCGCGCGTTGAATATGAGATGATAGATAGCCAACTAGGTGCGTGGCGCCGAGTTGGCTATAGTCTCTGATATCCAACAAACGCGAGTGGAATAATTGTTTTATTAAAAACGCTACATTAAATTATTAAATTTTATTACATTGTTAGTTCCCTTTCAACTTTAAGCTTATTCGTACGCTTACCATATCGTAGTTTATGGTATATTGGCTCATATACCATAATGGCTAAGCCAATGAAAAGTCTTGAATTGCATTATCCAATGATCCAGTTTTTAATAAATGGATATATTCAATTGCGCTTCACAATATTGTGAAAGTAAAATTATGTTAAAAATAACTAAAAACATACGAAACTATTGGATACTACAAACCCATATACAATCAAAGGCAGCAATAGCCTGGTCATTAAACTAGTTCAAAGATAAGACATGAATAAAAATCTATTTGAATGCTAAATTAAAAAAAAAACAATTAGTTTCAACAGCAGTCTTGAAAGTGTCCAGTGTCTTTATGTTGCGAATTCTCGAAGGTAATGCAGTCCAAAGATTAGGTGCGGCTGACTGGAATGTACGATCGCCAAGGGTTGGACGGGTCTTAGTACTAGGTACTCGAGTAACAAAGATTCGTTTGATCCAAGAGAGTACCTGGACTGCTTTTTGATACTGAATAATTTAATTAAATAAGAAGGAACTAGACCATCTACACGCTTAATCGGGGACCAATGAAGGTGAAAAAGCAATGGTGTAACATAACAGAATCTTGGTGTTTCCGTCACTAGCCTAGCTGCAACATTCTGTATCCGTTGGTTTTTTATGAATAGTGAGTTCGGGAGGCCATATAGTAGGCTGTTACAATAACCTACTCTACTGGTTATAAGAGCATGAACTAATGATTTGGTGACTGGACGACTATATTTTTCCTAATTCTAGGCATATTATAAAGATAATAGAAATCGGACGAGCAAGTTCTGTTAATATGACTTAGCATACTCATTTCCGACTGAAACCAGGTCCCTAAGTTTCGAACTTTACATAATGGAACAATTTGGTGGTCG